ATTATAATATTGATTATTATAAATTAAATTTAGAATCTTGATTAATGTAAATTAAAATTATTATCTTAATTAATTATTACATTTGATATAGAATTTAAACTTCAAAAATAAAATGTTGTAAAAAAGATATATGTACTATATTTAACATTTTTCAAAAGTTTAGGGGCACATGTCAACTGCGAAAAAGAACTCCGTTAGTCTAATTAATAGAATGTTTGTCAAGTAGACCATTTTGAAACAAAATTGATAGTTTATAGATCTTTTTGAAAGAAAAAATTGTTTTTAGACTAAATTAAAATAAATCACATAATTAATAGACTATTTATTAAATTTAGCCCTAAAGTCTTGACATGATGTTCAACCATTCTCCCAACATCCGTAGACTACTAACCTTAGTGCAAAAAAGAGAGGAAAATTATTTGAGGGCATCAAACTCCACTCTTGCAAAGTAGACCCAAATTTTATTTGCTGTTGACCATGACATGCATCTCATGTAAGTTTGTATGATTAATAAGTGAAATTTACTAAGCTTACTTTTGAACGTGTGAAATTTGGTCCACAAATAATTACTCAAAAAATGAAATTCATTTTTTTTTTTTTAGAATGAAGTTCCAATTTTAAGGAGTGCTGAAGAAGGTACTTGACATTTGACTAAATGAAGGTAAAAATCACTATCTGTCTCCTCAACTTTCTAAGTTTGAGTTTGGATTTGCTCTAACTATAAAGTTGTAACTTTGAGTCTCTTAACCTCATGAATCGGTAATTTTATTATTAATTTAATAGTAAAATATCATGTGCCCATTAAAATTGTCATATCACTTCATACATCATCAATTTTAATCCACAAAAGCACACCACCTTGTCACATTAAAGACTTAATTATTTTGCTAAAAATATCAATTTACCATTATTTTGTTTTCCAATTTTCAAATCTCACCCTTCATCTTTCAATGAATACCATCCTCAAAATTCATCATCACATTCATCACTTTTGCTCATCTTTCTCTTTCCTCCTTTTCCCCCTCTTCGTTTCTCCCTCTCTCCTTTCCTTCCCATTCTCCTCCTCTTTCATAAACCCTTCAAGAACCATCTAGGTTCTTCTTGAAGAACCCAAATTGGGTTCCCACCTAAGTTCCTTTTCAAGAACCAAGATCATATTTCCCTAGGGAACTCGCTTGGGTTTCTTCAAGGGAACTAGCCTGGGTTCTTCTTCAAGAACTTGGAACCCAAGGAACTCAAATCGGGTTCCCTAAGGGAACATGTTTGGGTTAAGGATGGCAACGGGTCCCCACGGGGGTGGGGACCCCTTCCCCATCCCCATCTCCGCCAATGGCGGGTACGGGGATCCCCACGGGGATTTTTGGCGGAGGTTCAAAAACAACCTCCGTCCCCATACCCACGGGGAATGATAGGTCCCCGCGGGTATTCGGAGTCTCTATCAAATAAAACTATCATCTCCTCCACTATTTGTTAATCAAAACTAAACTCAACATGAGTCTGCTTAGCCTCCATTAGTTTTCACATTTATTAAATAAAACTAGTTCAAATAATCATATAAAGTAAAAATTTGAAACAAGACAAACAAGTAGTAAATATACACAGCTAATATATACATGTCAAGCAAGTCCAGCAAGTCAGCAACAAGTTCATAAAGAAAAAAAGGCATAAACTGCCATATAAGTCCAACAAATCCAGTAAAAGGTTCATAAAAAATAAAAAGCATAAACTGCAACTATCATCAACAAAGTTCATAGAAACAAAAATACATAAATTGTTGCTACACATGTCCAACAATAAGTTCATTACGAAAAACAGCATAAAAGAGATGAGTTACTAGTGACTGGTTGAGAGATTGGAGAAGAGCTATCAAGTCGAGTGTGAGTGAGAGATGGGAGAAGATCAGCGTTGCAGTGGTAGCACAATGGGTAGTGACGGTGAAAGCTTGAAGAGAATCACAGATGAGGATTGAAGAGCAGAAACAAAGTTATAACATAGAGCCACAGAAGAGATCGAAAAAGAGGAATCGCAAATTTGAAATTGAAATCTTTGGATAGTCCTTCTAGGGTTACCAATGCAAATTGGGTTGGGCAATTAGGTTTAGGAAAACTAGATTGACAAAAAGATTAGGCTGGACTTGACAATTGGGTTTGGGAAAACTGAAAAAAGAATGGATTGTGAAATTTAGGTTGTATTAGTAATGGGTTAGCTAATTAGGGTAAGTAAAAATTAATTGTTAATATATTTATAAATATATATAAATTTATATATATTTTTTATTTTATATAGATCCCCACGGTTTCCCACAGGGTGGAGGAAATTCCCCACGAAATTTCACGGGAAAAAAAAATGCCTCCATCCCCGCCCCATGGGGAAGAATATTCTTGAAATCTCCATCCTCATGACGAGGATCTCCGTGAACCTCCGCGAACCTCCGCGAGTCGTGACGGAAATTGACATCCCTAGTTTGGGTTCATGATAAGTGATGGACTCTCTGTTTATTTTTCGTTTTATTTCCTTCAATTTTTGGATTATATTAGTTCACTTAGGTTCATGATAAGTTTGCTATATTACCATGATAATTTAAGGATGTTTTATGAGAGATTTCTGATAGTGGGTTGGGTGCAAAAGAAAGAAACTCCTAGTGAAATTGAATGGAAGATGAAAGAGATAAGGGTAATTCTTGTAATTTAAATTTTATGTTTTATTTATTCACAATCTAACGTGGCAACTAAGGTGAAAAAAATTGCTAACATGTGTGACATGTCAATTTTTGGACACAAGGTAACAAAAACGTGAGCGCACATGATATTTTATCATCAATTAGTATTAAAGTTATTGGCTTTTGAGGTTGAGGGGTTTAAAGTTACAACTTTATGGTGGGAGGAAATCCAAGCTTAAACTTAGAAAGTTGAGGGGCCAGACAGTATTTTTGCACTAAATGAAGGACAATGAAGTTCAAGGATTGTTTCATGAACCAAAAAAAAAAAAAAATAGGAACAAAATGAAAAAAAAAAAAAATTAGGGACCTTTTCCGATATATTTAACCAAAATAAAACACACAAGGCCCATAATCCATCGAGGTCCAAACCCAGTTTTTGTGTGGGCTCTAGGCTATGGGAATGAAGAAAGGAGAAAAATGGATTTCAGGGCACCCAGGAGGTGTTGCAGAGTGAGGTCGGCGGGAGGGAGAGATGGCCGGAATCGGAGCGTTTTGGGGAACGAGAGTGATGGAGATAGTGAAGAAGCACGACTCTGGAGGTCTTGTTTGGAAGAGAATCAAGCTCACCTCCACTCGCAAAGCCAATGCCAAGAAGCGTCTCCTTCGCGTTTGGCAGGTTTTTTTACCTCACCTTCCCTTCTCCATCTTCTTAAGGTTCATACCTTTCATTAGTTTGTTTAATTAACTCTTTGTGTTTTGGTTTTTGGATCCTATTATTTAACATTAAGAAGATTTTCCTTCAATTAAATTTTAGGATTAGTTCCTGATTCATGAAATGTATTTGAGTTGAAGATATATAAATTCATTTAGCAATTCAGGGAGTTTGCTGCTCTCAGTAACTTAGGTGTCTATACTTGTGTGACTTGTAATAAGAGTTCAGTATTACCAGTTGGTAAGACCAATACTGTAGAAATCATCAACAGTGCATTTTCATTGTTAGTTCAGGTTGTATTTGTTAAGACTTCTAAGGAGCTGTATTCATACAAATTCATCAAATATGGAAACTTGGAGATTCAACTATTTTGTGTAACCTCATAAATAAGTTTTCCTTGATTTTGGTATTTAATTAACAGGATGTTTTGCTGGCCTAACTTATGCTTTCTAAACATAGGAGGTCTTCCATAAACTGGGCCAAACACCTACTTTATTCACTTGATAATCATTTTACTGTCCAGGAGGCTTATATTAACATGTTCATTTGAACTTGAACACAATGAGAAGTTTGCAGAGTGTAGATGTTCAGATTTTGGCCGAGGTTGCTTCCACATTAATTTTCTTGCTTAACAGTATTCGGCATTGCAATGCCTATTTCTTGCAGAATGAAGCTGTTTTGAGAGCATGTGCTGAACTGCCTCCTTCAGAAACATCCAAAGTTGTAGCTGATGAAGCCAGTGAGAAAAAGCATGTGTAGCCAAGTTAACTGACGAAATGAGTAAGAAACTAGATAAACTAGATGAAGCTTTAAAGAAGTCTCTTTTGTGAATCTTGGCTTCGTGATGGAAAATCTCTTTTGTTATTCACTTATTCTTCCATATCTGAATTTAGATGGATAGCACAAGTGACCACCTTGTTATCCTTTTGTGAGACTAGAGTATGTAAACTTGTTGTTTGTTGGATTAAAGCGATATTAATCCTGTATGGTCTCAGAAACCTGTGTAAACATTAGCTAGTCTGTCAGATTATTCTAAAAACTTGCTTCCCAATTATGTTAACCATTAAACTGGAAGCCTCTTTTATTCTGTTTCTTTAACTCCATACCTTTTGCTTCTTTGTTCCTGATCATGTTCTTCATTAGCACGTTCGTTATCAATGATAATAATCAATGCCCTTGAAGTGCAAACTACTAAAAACTCACATGTTTCTTCATGTTTTTCATTCCTAATAAGTTTGATTAAGGATATGGATCCTGGTTCAGGGATTATGAATGTTAATTGGAAGCAGCCTGTCTTTGTTACCGTGTTCCCCTTCCAAGTTTAAAAGTTTAACAGAATCTTATGATATTTTGTGAAGAATCTTTCTCTTTCAAATTTTTATTTGAAGATAACACTGAATCTTATCATAAGATGATGTGGTCCATATTGGTATGGAAGAAAAAGGAACTAGGATTTGGAGTTGAATTGTATGTGGTTAGAAAAACTACTGAAAGGGAAGGGAAGCTCACAAATCTCCAGCGCTCCTTGTCTCTGTCTATAGGCCAGAAGACTGATTTTGATGTGGAAGTTGGGATAAGCTATGAGTTCTCCTTCTTATATGTCTTTGTAACTTGAGAAGTTTGATAGATACTTCCTTAATCCCTATGCATTTTAACACGCAACTCTCATGTGTTCCTGTTTCAACACTTTGTACAAATATATCAATCTGATGTATTATATTAGTTACTTTATGTTGGATAAAATAGCTTGACATGTTAACAACTTTACCAATGTTGAAATGTTACACTGCATGTGCACATATTGGATTTCATCAAGAAGCATCTTTAGTTGTTAGGCTTTGTTGTTAGGATCATAGTTGAAAACGTTAGGACCATCATGCAGATAGTTGGATCCCATGAACATATTTGTCAATGATCTCAGCATTTTAAATGCATGGAGCTACCCACTACATGTGCAATAGCCTGAACTATCATTAACCATTTTTGGCTTTATAGAAGCTCTCGTTCAGGCACAGGAGCCATTCTTTTTAAGTTATTACTTGTTTGCAGCTAGGTGTCATGTGCAGAGCAACCTCAATTCCTACCTAATTTTTTAATTTTATCATGGTTAAGTTCCAGAAAAGAGGGTTATAGTTGAAACAAGATATAATATCTAGTTTGCCGTAAGATTCCCAAGCTTTGGATCCTTTTAAAGCTATAGAAAATGGTAGATTTTATTTTGATGTGTACATGTGCTGGTTGTTACAGGCAAGGGCTTGAGTTGAGGTCATTCAATTAGGAGAAGGACCCCATTGCATTAACATTTCCTTGGTTAGATTTAGATTCATATATGATGAGATGCAGTATCATTTGAAACTGAGTTATTATATTTGAAATGTCCTTGTTGCTGAGATACTAAGCAACCCTCTTAAACTTAAATTTGTCCAAACAAACCATATATAAAAGTGGTTGGTTTTGGAATAGGTCAACTTTCATAATTGATAATACATTCCCTGTCTGCAAGGTATTGCTTTTGAAATGTCAAAACTAACCCTTCTCTGATAACGACACACACACACACACTCACCCCACATTCACATGCCATATTTCTAGGTCTTCTGTATGGTTTTCTCTATTTGATTGACCTAACCAGGTGAGGCTACTAAAGTGTGTTCTAATTTGTGCATCTGCGTGGTCTGGTCTACCACAAGGGGCTGCCCATGTGATTCACAAAATTGGACACCCAAGTCAGCAATCCAAACAACCCAATCAAACCCCTCTTTCATTTCACGAAATTGAAATATCATAATAGTGTTTTTCAGTTGGTCTGTACAGACTGCAAACAACATAGCGCCACGATTAGTGGGACTAATTCTTAGTCTTAACAAAAATTTCACTAATTGTGGGGCTCTTTTCTTGGAGCCTATGCAGGACACACTGCAAAAAAAAAAAAAAAATTCGCTTATGAAATATAAACTTTTACAAAAAGTGACGTGATGAACTTCAACAGCCTTAGGTGATTCTAAGACACTGTCACAAGAAACTCGGGTCGGCAATTCTTTTTTCCTTGTTTATCACTTTGTCTCTGTGGTAGTTTTTTTTTTTTTATCTTTTATTTATTTTTTATTTTTTTATATACTAATTCTTAATCTTGTTCTGTCCTGTTTTGGCATTGCAGTGGCTTAATCATGGATGATTGGATTCATAATCGATGGTCATTACAATATGCCGTCCGGTGTCTTTCTGGCGTCCATTTGGCAATCATGTAAGAGTTCATGGTCCCACTCTTTTTTGCTTATGATATCATCCATGTTTATGTACGGTGACAACCCACCGGACACTGCTATATATTACAATTGCCTTGATGGGGATCAACAAGTAATTGATGATTAATTGAATTGAATTATATGTATCATACTTTGTCTTTGATAAGTCGTATTTTCGGCTTATGGATCATAGAATATTTTATAATATATGGTGAGTCAACTATAACTTGGTCGTGTCCGTTGCATGCATTACATGTGTACCACACATGCAGTGTAAAGAAGGTAAACTCCTTCCATCTAGAAGTGTCAAAAATATAATATGCATTTTTTGAGGAAGTATATGAATGCCTAAATGCTACCCACGAGGGGGTGAATGAGTTGGCTGAGACTCTTTTAGCTTAACCAGAGATCTTGATTTCAAGTCCTGGAAATGCAATTTCGTTAGAACTCGTGAGGGAGAGTTGTGTTACCCGTTGGATCCTGCCTGACTCGAATCTAAATTAGTCGGTAACCCAGTGAGCTTCCAAATACCGGATGATCTATACAAAAAAAAAAAAAAAATGAATGCCTAAATACTTGTGTGTGCTATATAATTTGGTGTTCTGTAGTTCATGTTGCACTATAAAACACAAGTCATCAGATTGGATGATTCGTTTTTTTATTATATTTAAAACTCTATTCGTTCTTATAATAGTTTAGATTGTACAATACTTATTAGATTTTATATATTGAAGTCAAAATTGGAGGGTAGTTGGGAATTAGGGGAAGAAAGAAGAATATCACTGTTAGAACGCCTGCCATATGTTTGCATAAATTTCAAGCAGAATGTTTTCTATTGGATGGTAAAGGGTCTAGATTTCTTCACATGCAAGGAACCCATTTAAGAACATAAAGATTGCAAGAAGTACAAGAAATGATATATTTGGGAACAAGAAAGTCATTAGGGATCAACTTTAAGGGCCTAGGAGAGTTGGACAGTGAAGCTCATTTGTCAAATGTTCCCATCTCGTCCCTTCTTTTTCCTTATAGAATACACCTATATCCTAGTCTCTTTGCGTCTACCGAATTGGTCTTCTAAATTCAAAATTTAGTTAACCTTGTTTCCTGCAACATTGTACCTACTCTTCTCGTTTCTTGTACTGCAGATGTTGTCCAAATTATGCTGGTAATGCGTGTCTTAGACCACCATATTGCTCGGTTTCCCATGGTTCCAAAGTTTGAGTGTGGATGAAGCTTAGAATTTTAGAAGTTGGAGCAGGCTGAGAATTTGACGGAGATTCGATCCATTAGGTGAAATAGAGTCAATGGGGGAATTGGGTTCTTTTCAATTTTTTTTCACCTTTTCCGTGAGGAAGAAGAGGAACCTCGTGCGATGCTCATCTTGCAAAGATCTTATGCTTATTCTTGTGCCCCCCTAAAAAGGGTTTCCCTTTTGGCAAAGTTCATATTACACACATGAGCTCTCCCTTTCCCTCTTTGTTTCCTTTCCCTTTTCCCCTTGAAAATCATTTGCCTTTTTATAAAGCAAAACCTCTCCATGTGTGCTTGAACTAATTACCAAGTTTTCATAACACCCACGAACTACAAATCCTTGGTTTCGGGGTTAAGCACTAACTTTTGCTCTGTTCAGTAACGTTATTGTTCTTGAAATTTTTTGCAACTAATACTATATTTAGGAAAATCAAAATGAAAAACAACATCAAGACTAAAGGAGAGTAAAATTACTAAGATTGGGAAATTGAGGATCATTACATAGTAACATCTGGTAAAAGATTCAGGATTGGTTGCTCTTCAAATTACTCTAATCTTTCATGTTCATTTCATTCTTTTGATCTCTGTTTCTGCTACCTCTGATAACCACAAACTAAGAGACCCAAAACCTTAAAATTACCAGACATCTTTAGATTTTGCTTAAGTGGTTATTCTGACTTAGCTACATCCGAAAAATTCCAAATTTACTGGTACAGATTACAGGAGTAATATGGCAACCAACTGTTCCTTGCTTATCTTGGAATTTCAAGGTTTTCTTCGAAAATAAGGTAAACTGTTGCAACTACTGCTTTCTTCGTGATCCTCTGTTTCATTGATCGAAACCTCTGTGATTCCACTGGAGCCAGAGGATGAAGAACTAGGGGCAAGATTCAAGTCTGTATTGGTCCTGTTCTTGGTAAGAAAATCATAGAACACCGGCCTGTTTGTCCGGAGCTTACGAACTCCATTTTCATTGCAAGAAATTTGCATTTGCACATTCTCTTCTTCGTTCTTGCTGTTTCTCTTCTTCAAAAATATACGGCAGAGAACCCAATTTTCTGTAAGACCCTGATGAAATTGAACACAGACCCATTAACCCAATTCGCCCAATTCACCAATGTAATGGAATTGAGGCCGCAAGGGGGAGTCGGAAAACTGACCTGAGTTGGGTTCTTCTTTGGTGTTGCATTGCCGGCAGCAGGCTCTGTACTGACGAGGCGATACTCATGCATAATCCAATCAGTCCTAGAGCCCTGTGGGGGCTTTCCTCTGTAAAAAACCAGAGTTTTTTTCACGCCTACCAACTGGTTGTTCTTGGAGGTCACAATTTGCTTGTCTATTCCGGTAGCCTTCCAGTAACCGGCGCTGGTGGCTCTGTTGGATCTATTCCCGTTTGGGTACTTCGTTTCTCTGGTGCTGAAAAAGTACCTCTCTTGCTCTAAATCACCTGAGAAAAAATAATAAAAAAATAAAATAACCCACATAAACCTTTTCCATTTGCTTCATTGCTCAAAACCCCAAATTTAGAAATGGGTTTGGGAAGAATCAATTATGCATGAAATTGAAAAATAAAACCAACCAGGTAAGTCCCAAGGATCAGCCTTGCAAACATCAACTTCAGGAATAATCGAAGCAGGCAAAGGGCAAGAAAACACCTTTCTCTTCAAGTACTGAACTACAAGCTCTTCGTCCGTGGGGTGGAATCTGAACCCCGGAGGCAATCTAAGCACACCATTTTTCACAAAATTGAGCTTCTCCATAACCCCAATTAAAAGATTGAAGAACTAAAGACCCCAGAAGAGGAAACAGTGTCTTTTCTCAATACCCAGTTGAGTTTTAGGATGCAATTAAAGCTTCCCCACTTAGCTCTCTTATAGTTCAGCAAAGCAAATAGAGAATATCAACAGGAACAAGAACAAGGAAGAAAAGGAGGATTTTTGGACATAAAGAAGGGGAAAAGGGGGAGAGAGGAGATGAAATTTTTGAGAGGAAAGTGTGGTTCTTTATAGTGATGGGGTTGTTGTGGGAGGAAGAGGTCTACGAAGACAGGGGAATAGAATACGGACGAGAGCCCTTTGGCGTAAACGAGACTCAAACTCTTTTTTTATTTTACTTTTTTTTGTTTTCCTGTTTTTTTGGTTCCTTTCCCTTTGTGCGTTATTTTGAACAGACGTTTCTGAGTTTCGACAGGTTTTCAAAACAAGTGAAGTTTGGGTTTCTTGGAAAAGTAAACAAGTTTTTATTTTGAAAAGGTTAAATGTTAAATTTGGTCTCTCAACTTTAGTGAGTTGCACATTTTTGGTCCTTCAACAATTTTTTACACTTTTTTGATCCTTAACTATACAAAATGCACTCCATTAGTCCTTCTATCAATTTTCACCGTTAACTTGGCCACATGGCATTTTTTATATTTTGTTTTGGATGACATGACAAAAATAACTTAAAAGGCGCTGATTTGGACTTTTTTTTGGCGACATGTCATCTTCCTTTTCATCTTCTCTCTCTGCAAAATTAACCTCATCTTCCTTTCTCATCTTCCCTCTCTGCAAAATTAACCTCCACTCTATCTGCAGAATCAATCTTAACCCATTTCTTCTTCCTCTCTAAATACTCTCTCATCTCCACTCCTCTACAAAACCGATCTTAACCCATTTCTTCTTCTTCTCTTTTCTCAAGAGAACTTGAGAAATTGAACCCAGTTACTGGGTTTCATTCAAGCATCAAACTTAGTAAATCTTATCAAATCAAATTAACTATTCAATAAACAAAATAAACAATATCAATCAAACTCTAATCAAACTCCAACAAAAATACAATCAAATTGTAAATCAACTCTCAAATTTATTAACAACTAGAAATGAAAATCCAAAGAAAAATGAAAAAACATGAATTCAGCATGGAAACAGCAAAGCTAGGTTCATCGGAACCTAGTTGGGGTCTCGTCGAACCCAATAGCTGGGGTCTCGTCGAACCCAATAGCTAGGTTCGGGTAAACCCAGCAAGGCTGGGTTAGACGAGACCCAGCAGGGTTCGTCGAAACCCAGCCTTGCTGGGTCTCCCCGAACCCAGCAAGGCTGGATTCCGAAGAGACCCAGCAGGCTGGGTTCCGTCGAGATCCAGTAGGCTGGGTTCGTCGCAGCCATGAAGACCCAGGGCAGGAAAAAAAGAAAGAGAAAGAAAGAAGGAGAAGAAGAAGGATTGGGTGGGTGAGGGTAGTTAGGTAATTTTATGTCAAAATGTTTGCCACGTCATAAAAAAAATTAAAAGATAATATCAAATGTCAAAATGTTTGTCCATGTCATCACTTTGCTCTCCATGTCATCACTTTGCTCTCTACATCATCAAAAAAATATAAAAAATGCCACATAAGCGGAGTTAACGGCTCAAATTAATAGAAGGACTAACGGAGTGTATTTCTTGTAGTTGAGGGATTAAAAAAGTGCAAAAAATTGTTAAGGATCAAAAATGTTCATTTCTTAAAGTTAAGGGACCAAATTTAGCATTTAACCTTTTGAAAAAATTGTCTTGGTTTGTG